CTCTGCTCGCCTCACTCCGCAAGCATCCCAAGGTCCCTCTCGTTCCTTAGGGCATCTCTCTTCGTCTCCATTTCAGACCGTTAGCGCCGCCAAGGCCAATGGTGCCAGAGCTTTATTTCCTGACCTCTCTGCTGCCATTTTGACATACAGTGCTTAGATTCTTCTGCCCGGGTAGACAAGTTCACTATTCTGGGAAATAAACCCACACCTCACCTCCAGACATAATGAACCTCACCATGCCTCTCCTACTTTTCAGTTCTCTCAGTTTAGAAATACATAGTTCATCACAAATCCTGAAATGTGTAATCCTTCTGCCTCAGCCTTCCAGAGTGCTAGATCATAAGTGTACACCAGCATATCCAACTTTATTTTTTCTTTCTTTCTTTTTGAGACACAGTTCGGCCTTGTGATCCTCCTTTAGTGAATGTGCTACTATGCCCTGTGAAATTTTTTTCTTTTTTTTTTGAGACAGGGTCTCACTATATAGTTGAGACTGATCTGGAAACTCACTAGGTGGCCCAGGCTGATCTCGAACTCACAACGATCCTCCTGCCTCAGCCTCCCGAGTGCTGGGATTACAGGCGTGTGCCACCATGCCTGGCTATGTGCAATGTTTATTAATCCCTCTCAACAGTGCTCTGAAATAAGCTTTTCTGCTACTTCCATTTTATGAAGGAATTGGCCAAGGTTACAGTCAGTAAAAGTCTAAAAAAAAAAAAGACAGCCAGGATTTAAACTCAGATAAAGGCTGCAAGTGTAACTCAGCAGTAGAACACTGCCTAGCACGCACAAAGCCCTGGGCTCGATCTCCAACAATACAAAACAAATATACTCAGACTTCGACATTAGCGGTCTGAACCCTGAAGGCATGTTTCCTCTGAACTCACCCTACCCTACCATCTTTTGTTTTACTCCAAATCAGCCTTCTGTTCCAATCACTCCTTTGTCTCTTTCCTCCCCTGAGATAGCAATATTATGCTCCATATTGTTCTTAAAAATCCTTCACCTTTCAAGTTCTATCTCAGTTAAGACTTATACAAACCTCACTTCCTTGAAAACTTTCCCACTTCCCTCTAAACAAAGGTCCCCAAACCCCTAACCCATATGGTCAATACCACTTCACTCAGAATTTAACACTCCCTAGTGCTTCTGACACACCTGGACTTTATGCTCCGTGGGGAAGAAGTCCATCTTTCCTTATCCTACTGCCTACAGTACCAACACAAAATAGGGAAGGAAATTAAAATACACCTTTCTCACAATGTTTAGGGATTTCTCTTCAACATAAAATTTTGGTGGAGTAGATAGACTATTTAGTGTAATTTTTCAAAGGCCACTTTGAGTCAGGAAGATCACAGCCCAAACCACTTAGACTTCATCTCAAAATAAATAATAAAAAGGGCTGGAGGGCCAGGGATTTAGCTCAGTGGTTCTGCTGCCGGCCTCACAAGCGCAAGGAACAGAGTTCAATCCCCAGTACAAAAAAAAAAAAAAAAAAAAAAAAAAAAAAAAAAAAAAAAAAATTAAAAAAGGGCTGTAGATGTAGCTCTGTGGCAGCTCTGGGTTCAATCCCTAGTACCTCACCCCCCGCAAAGCCATCTGAGAAGTGACATAAGCAACTCAATAGCATGATTTTCATATACTGTATTTCATCAACTCTAATTATTTTTATATTTTTAATAGAGCTACATCTTATAATTAAGCAATGTCCATCGAACTGATATCATTTTTCCCCACTAGGAAATATCCATAGTGCATTTTATAAAATACAGTCTCAGGGGCCAGGAATTTAGCTCAGTGGTTCTGCTGCCTGCCTCACAAGCAAAAGGTCCTGAGTTCGATCCCCAATACAAAAAAAAAAAAAAAAAAAAAAAAAATACACACACACACAATCTTAGATTTAATGAAACAGGATACAAAGAACAACTGTTTAATTTCTGTGGTACTAAGGATTATATCTAGGGCCTTGTACATTCCACACAAGTAATCTACCAGTGAGCTACATCCCCAGCTCCAGAATAATAGTTCTTTTTTGTTTGTTTGTTGAGGCAGGGTCACTATGTAGTTCAGGTTGGCCTTGAACTCACTATGGAGCAAAGGATGCCCTTGTACTTGCAGTGATCCTCCTGCCTCAGCCTCCTGAGTGTTGGAATTAGGTGTGTACTAGCAAGCCTATCAGAATGGTTCCAAAATACATCTGACAAACAAGATGAAAAATCATAATGAACGACCATACTCTAATAATAATAACAGCATTTAGAAGACTAGGTTCTTGTGATAGTTAACCCGGGTACATCTGATTTAACATGTAATCTTCTTTCTCATCCTATTTATCTTAGAAACAGACTTTAACCTTAGAGAAATCAAGTAACTTGCCCAGGGCCACATACCTGAGTTAGCACTAGTCAGGATGCAAATACTGGCCAATGACTCCAAAGGCCAAGAATATAATTGACTATGATGTAAGACAAGCAAAGCATGATGGTGCACATCTGTAATCCCAGCACTCTTGGAAGCTGAGGCAGGAATATCACAAGTGTGAGCTTGGCATGGGCAATTTAGCAATTTAACAAGGTCCTGTCTCAAAAAAAGGGCTGGGATTTAGCTCTGTGGTTCCGCGACCTGCTTTACAAGCACAAGGTCCAGAGTTCAATCCTCAGTACCCGCTCCAAAAAAGACAATTGTCATATGACTCAACTCAGCCAAAAGGCTGAGGCAGGAGGATAGCAAGTTAAGTCTTACCCAGGCAACTTGGTGAGATCCTATCTCAAAAAGAAAAAAAAAAAAAAAATGCTGGGGATATGGCTTAATATGAGTGCCCCTGGGTTCCAGTACAACAAATAATAACTATAAAAATAAAATTTTTAAAAAATTGAAGGTACAACACACTAATTTTATTTCATTATCAAGGATACTCAATAAACGAGTCACTAATTTTAGCCTGTCAGTACTGGGGATTGAATCCAGGGCCTCAAATTGAGCTACATCCCAGGCTTTTCCCTTTTTATTTATTCACTCTTCAGTCCTCAGCACCTGAAACATGTCCAGCACACAGTTAAGTGTGCTAAAAATATTAATGAAAAAAAATTTACTTGCCCTTTTACTGTCCTGTATCTTCAAAGCTTCCTGAAAGTTTTGAAAAGCAAATAAAATAGAAACTTGAATTGAAATTTTCCTACTGAAAATGAGGAAATATACTCAGGAGGGAAAATTGGGTGGTGGTCTATGCCTATAATCCCAGCCCTTGGGAAGCTGAGGTAGGATAGCTTCAAGTCCTCCAAGGCCAGCTTGAACTACATAGCGAGACCCTGTCTCAAATAAACAAACCAAGGGCCGGGGATTTAGCTCAGTGGTTCCGCCACCTGCCTCACAAGCACAAGGACTAAAGTCCGATCCCTGGTACAAAACAACAACAACGACAGAAAAGACTTTCCTGAGGGTGTCCTACTTCTCACTCCAACCTCATCTCCACTTCTTCACCTACAGTTTACTCTCCCCTACTCTACTTCACAGCTGCTCAGTTCTCCTCAGAGATGCACCAGCTTTCCCTTCCCCCTAGGGTGCCATCCCTCATTTCCTCCTCCATTCTTTGCCATCCCTCAGGACTCACTATCTTCCAAGAAGCCCCCCCTTTTTTTAAACTCGCCACATGAGCATCTGACTTAAATAATCTATTTGCACATCTCTAGTTCAACTGGATTGTAAGCTCCCCCAGGCCAAGTAGCAAGATACAAATCACAAACTTCCTCTTCACTGGGGCACCCTTTTCAACGAAGCCTTCACAAAAGTAAAATGGGTGACAAAAACTTAACAGGACAGGCTGCGAATTTAGCTCAGTGGTTCCGCCAACTGCCTTGCAGGGGCAAGGTCCTGAGTTCGATCCCCAGTATCAAAAAAAAAAAAAAAAAAAAAAAAA